TTCTGACGATGTTCGTCATATGACGAACAAAGGCTTAACCCATTTTCTCCCGAAACGTCGGGGATGTCTCGTGGATTACATGAACCTGAACGTCGAATTAATGTCAAATGGCTACAGTACAATAACAGTCAGCCGGCATCTTCTGGTGAGAGTTACCTACCAATCTCTTCATAATGTACTTCCATATGAAGTAAAAGTCTTCACAACAATCCTTTCTCGGAAGATTCGTAAAAACCCAAATTTTCTTCGTATATACTTTGTAGGAGTCTAAATAAGAAATTAAATGCTTCCCAGAATTCCTTGCAACTTTTAAATATGCCATTACAACACACTTTTCTAGTTCTTCTCGTTTTTCCATCTGTTCCTGACATTCTGAAGCCAACAGCTCTGTCTCCTTCTGGATCTGCTGTCTTTCTCGCTGTGCCAACTGTATCATGCGACGCTGCTGCTCCTCTTCCAGATCAAAGAGATGGCGTCGGCGTCCTGAGATTTCGGCAGCCAATGCTGTCATCTCGTCGCTTGATGTGAGGCTTGGTAGTCTTAGTCGGAGTTCGTTGATCATGCCTGTGTAATCTGCATTTAGTGCTTCTGTTTGATCGGTTGCAAGATCGTCAACAGGTCCAGTTGTGATCACGGCCGATTTTCTTACTTGCTGACTTTTCTGACCAGTGATGACCCTTGGTCTAAAAAGATTGCAAGTAAATGAAAAGAAGTTATCGAGAAATCGGTTTTTACTGATTGTTAGGTGAAAAAAATGCCAGTACTTGCTATAAATAATTCTTAAAAGTTTTTTATTCCTTTAGTGTAAGACTCATCGTTTTTCCTGGTAGAGAGAAGTTGAGGTCATTGATATGACACATCCCATTAAGAATGCAAGATTTTCGCAGCTAGAAATTTATTTTTAGAGAAAACCATATAAGTTGAAGCTTATCACTGTCCGAGAAAGCTTTAAGGCAATAACTATTTTATCATTTGATTAATGTGCTATTCGATTAATCGTCTAAATAATAAAAATAGATAAATATTGCTTCGTTAAAATGATGTGAAATTTGCTAACTCACTTTTTGGAGGTATTCAAGAAGGATGTGTCTTCCATTTTCTGGGTGATTATAATTTTCGGAAGATGAATGGCTGAATTATTTCTCGAAGCGTCCTTTTTGCCTACATCATGGTCATCCACTTAATGAGTAATACAGATGGTATAAATAAATAAATTCACGCAGATAATTCAAAATTTTAAGCTTATCATAATTATTATCGTCAGTTAGATGTGAAATAAAACAAATAAATTTGCATTACACATTGTTTGAGGTGCCTGCCTCTCCAAATAAAGGTAAGCTAAATTATAGTTGAAGGTATGAAGACCAGGATGGTGTGGCCTTTTGTGTGGTC